ATTTCCATTTCAGGAATATCACCCTTGTCTTTCATTACACTTTTTAACACAAATAAAGTTGTGGGAAAAACTTAGTGACTAATTTAGTCCAAGTTTAGTGACTAATAAGATTCTCCAACTTGATAGGACTTTTTATTTACATTTACTGGTCAATATCTTTAAGGTAGTATTCTCTTATGTACCCTCTATTCTTCTTTGATCCTACAGGAACAGTTACTAATTTTACGTGTAAGCACATATTGCTTTGCTTCATTTTGTTAAACGGACTCTTATCGACATGCAAATTATTTCTGATGCAGAACAGAGTGCAAAGAAATTTTTCTAATGCATAGTTTAATTTGCTTCAACTCCAGCATGTGGTATTTGCTTTTTAGAGAACACCCAAAGCTACATCCTCTCTGCCACACAGTATCACATTTTGTTTCCAAATTATTATTCAATGAGACTTCCTCCCACAAAAAAGTCCAAAGTTTCCTCAAAGTCATTTGTAGAATGTAGCAGTAAATTGTATAACCTAGAAACAGTCTACAAAAAAAAACACCCGAGAATCGATTACAGTAAGTTGAGTCACAATACCCCAAGAAATCAATTCTCATGTCATCATTTTATCTACTGACATTATTCTGCAATCTCGTCATTCAGCACAGTTATGGTACAGGGGGGAAAGCATCAATTAACTGTTGCAAATGTACAGCCAGTTCCAGCTCCTAAGAAACAGCTTCCAAGTTAAGCCCTTTAAAAGTCTTGTAAAAACTGGGCTTAGTATGATTTTAAAAAGAACAATCTCTCAGACCTCAAAAGCAAGGATATTACATTTACACCTTACAAGTTGAGTCATTTCACATGCGCTGACGCCTGTACGCACATCAGAGCATGGACGTGACCTTCAGGGTTCATTCTCAATGTAATATGGAAGAAACTAGGTGCAGAACTCCCAGTAAAGTTAACCAGAGTTAGACAGCAATGCCCCTTCATACCACTTAATTATTAAATATCTTATGTATTGTGTGTGAAAAATTTCAGTTTTGTATTAAGAAAGCAAATACTGAAATAGAAACAACTTTTAGCACAACAGATGTATTTACTTACAGCATGCAAGGTTTGTTTTTATGTATTTGAGCAGCTAACAGCCACCAACAGCCCTTAAGTATTTACAAGTTCAAAATTACAATCTTCACATAAGTAGCAACTGCTTGCAAAAAGTTCAGGACACTCCCTAGGAAATAAGCAAGAAATGGAGTAAAAAATACTGAAAGCAGTAATAAAAAATAGTGGCAAAGGAAAACATAATAGCTTAAAATCCAGACAATTTAACACTGTCCTGGTAAAAAAAAAAAACCAACACAAAACAAAAAAGCCACATATCACATTTAGAGATGCCATTTTAAAAGATATGCATCTTTCTGTTGGTTCCCCCCCACCAGGAGAAGCTGTACATAGCTTAAAAAAATTTCCAAGTAAATAAACAAAATGCACCTCCCTCTGGTTTGCCAATTTACCTTAAAATAGGTTCTCCCCCCCCGCCCCCAAGTTGGCAAGGTAAGTGGTAAGGCAAAGGTGATCAGAGACTGAAGAGCTTCACAGGTGATCACACCTGAGAAAGACACTTCAACCCCAGTGCATGGTATGGGAAGCAAAAGTAATAGCTTTTTTTATAAACATGAAACTTTTTTCAAAATAACAGATTCTAAACCTTAGCCAAGATGCAATGCATTCTGATTGAGGACCAGGTCAGGAAAAATCCTGCTCCTATGTTTAAGGCGGTCTAAGACTAATTTGAGTCCCTCCAGCCTCTTGGAAAACAGAATTTTGTGCCAAATGACACCCTATGTGACTGTTAGTTTCAGGATTTATTTCACACACTAATCAAATAAGACAAAATTTAACTCATAGCTTTTTGTAATAAATGGGTGTTTTTATCTGCTTCTATAAAATAGTAGTATTTCTCTTTTTAGGACTATACAACCTGGAACTGAGGAAATTCACTAGCAGTGACATAGGAATGTTTTTGCACTGCTTCACTTCAGGAAAGGTTTCAAGTGTACTGTCCTTCTGAAAAGACATTTAACTACCTTTTAAAGCTATGTTAAATTTATTTATAAATAATTTGGTACCAGCTGATGCTCATACTAGAAATATTTTTCATGTTCAACTCTAGAAATAGCTTAGGGCAAAGAAAGTGCTCCAGTTTTACCTGCTGTTTTGTTATGCCCGATTTGAAGGAATCTTATTATTAAACAAAAATATACTAAAATACAAATATTTAAGTTGGATTTTTAAATTTTTGCATTTCTGTGATTCTTTATCTATAACTGTATTCATATTGCATGATACTTTGTGCTAAACTGCCCTCTTGAGCCTAGCCCCTTATAAAATGTGAAAATAGAATAGTAAAACTTTTTTCATGTAAACTTCAGTAAAGTAGTTGCCATCTTAGAGACAGGGTTGTAAAGGTGCCTTATAAACATTCTGATATACATTTCCTGTGTATTAGACTATGTGGTACATGGAACATGACATTTTGGAGTTACCCAATGTAATGTATAAAAATATAAAATATGTATTTATGAGTAACAGTAGAATAAGCTACAGTGCAATTTTCCTTAGCCTCTTGAAAGCTCTACCTGCATATGATTGTTTCACCCATTCTAGGTCTTCCACAGTAGATTTTATTTTCCATTATTAGTACAAGAGAGCAAGCACAGCTAGAAAAGACAGCTTTAAGAACACTCAATGCTGTAAACTTGAAGTTTCTAGAAGTCGAATGTGTACCTTACAAAATTAGGTTTGCTCACTTGTCTCTTCTGTGCTAGAATTTAAACATTTTTCGCTACCAACTGTAAAGCTAGAATATTTCAGGATTGTATGTCCTAAATTTCAAAGAAAGTTATCCTATTATTTTTACCGGTCCTCAGACTAATTTAATATAATTGGAACTACACCGCTGGCTCAGGGCTTTAAGCATAAGGCATTTTGCGTACATTCCCCCCCAGCTATTTATTTAATGACTATCTTGGTGTGCAAAGCCAAACCAGTGGAAATCCCTCCCTCAAAACCTTGGAAACCAATTTATCTTTTACTGCACATTCAGCGTTAAACTGCAAAGAAGGAACAGATAGAAAAATCAAATCCAGAAATATGCACTGAAACAAGCAAACCATTTTCTACTAGGTAAGGTCCTTTCAACGATAGAAGTTGTTTAACACACTATCAGTTGGAATACATTCATAGCAGTACATTCTGAATGCATTGAAGAAATGCATCAGAAAAGTTTGCTTTTCACATCATCTAATGCCAGCGTACCATAACTTTGACTGCTTTGAGGAAAGAGATATGAAGTTAATTTTGTTAATTTACATATTAACAGTTTGGAGATACGAGCTCTGGTACAAAAAAAACCCTTCCCATTCCAAATATTGTTTACAAAAAATGTAAGCTTTGTATTCTATCTAATCACTACACTTCCCAACCAAATTATGTTTTTCCTGACAAAAAATGTACAATACAAAATTAAGTAATTCACATCTAGCCAGACAATAAGACAGCTCTTGCTGCAATATGACAATTCCTGACATGGAAAGAACAGATTAGGCAACACATTAACATAGACAAAATGAAACACAAGAGAGGCACATGAAATTACAGTTGAAGGGTCATATTCTACTCATCACTGGAAAAAGGATCATGAAAAGCTGAAAACTGCATAATAATTCAGTAAAATTTAGATATGCACAAACCGTTTACACATTGACCGTCCTGTCTTGACTGCTCACAACCTGCCTATCAGAATGGTTAAAAATTTAATTTGATCATTATACTGTCTTATAGCTAACTAAATTGGATAAAAGTGATTATCACCTTTAAATATAGTATGTTAATGCATAAAAATACATATATTTTTCCTAGAATAGGGATTATATTTTCTAAGCAAATATCTAAAACCAATGGTCCTTCTAAATTAGTGTGGAATAGTGAGGCCCATTTCTTTGCAGAATGGGGTGGTTTTATTGTTTATATGTTTAGATAATTAATTCTGAGTATCTGTCCACCGTATAAACAATCTCCAGAAAAATATATCCTCTTCCAGTAACTTACAATACACATTAAAAATACTTACAAAAGGGATTATTGTCCATTTACAACATCTTGAGCTTAAGGACATGATTCTTGGGTCATTTCATTTATGCAATTTTCATCAGGCTAAACAGAATAGTCCGGTTAACTTGAACCATGCCAGCAATGTGGACAATCTAACATTTAAAAATATCTGCCCAATTATGTAGGATTTTAAATAAAATTAGGCATTTTTACATCACAGTATATATAGCATTTCTTAATTTAGCAACAGAAAGGCACAGTTATTAAACCATAAAATACAGTACCTGAATCGTATATACTCTAGTGATAGCTACCAATGCCAATCCAGACATTTGACTCTGTAGAGGGGGCTAAAGAAAAAGGCTTCTATTTGGTTTTTTTTAGAAAAAATTCAACCTCATTACAAGTTTGGTCCATTGCAAATGCTTATTAGCTGCAACATCTTGAAGCAGGACTTCAGGAACGAATAGAGGAAAACAAATTTAGCAGTCTATGGTCCAACAGCTTGAATAAATTACTATGAAATGGCAAACAGATCATGAATGGAGCTTTCTGATTAGCTGCCAGACATACCTGTTAAAATGTCAATGTATACAGGTACAGCATGACAGGCATTCCAGATACATTCATTGCATCACACACACACACAGACTTTGTTACAGCAACAAGTCCAGACATAGCATTTATAGAGTTCAGCACTTCTCATGGACTGATACTTGACTTCTGGCCCCATACCATACCCAAAGATGTGCAAAGTTCTTTAAATGCTTTGCCTGCTATGTATTGCTGTTAAAGTGAAGACCCTGCTAAAGCCAAGCTCACTGGCCTTCCCTTAGCAAACTAGTGCACCTCTTCAAAAAGCAACTAGCTCTGTTCTCCCCATTTAAAGTGATAAAACTGCATCAAGAAAGACCAATAAAATGGAAGAGGCAAGGAACAATAAACATGAGGGAGAACCCAACCATTCCGTACGTAATATAGCGATAGGGAAGCTCAACTTCCATGCGTTGTCTTGCTTTCCGTACATCGTCATGTGGTATGCGAAATATTTTACATGCCAGTGGAATAGTGGCTTTTTTCATTGCTACTTTTGTTAGCAACAGAACTATTACTCCAATCAACAACCGCAATATGGCTTTTCCAAACACAGTCACAGTGAGAGAGGAAAGAGATAAAGGTAACGTGTCGGGAGGAGGATCTAGCTTGAGACCCATTATGTAGTTAACGTGAGAGCCGCAGGCTACTCCAGCACCACAGCCCAGTATCTGAGCTGTGTCCCCTCGCGATGTGCTCCAGGTGTCTAGAGTAAAAGAAAAGATGCCCAGGGCTAAATGGAGACTGATGATAATTAAGGGCGCATATTTGTAAGTTAAGTTGAAGTTATCAATCAGGTCCACAACTGGATGGAAGACAACCAAGATGAGAATAGCATAGAAAAATCCAGCAATAACATCCTGTTGAAAAGAGAGAAAGATATGGTTACGTTAGCGTGGAGACAAGCCTAGTTGCTCTGCTGGTAAAAGCGACTTGTGGATTCCCATCTTTTCTCATTTACTAAAAAAAGATCTTTTTTGTGTTAAAGATGAGGTAAGGAATTGCATTTGATCGCCTATTGATAGGACATCTGCATCATGATCACATCATGAATGAAGCTATGATCAAATGATCCATGATCAAATGAAGTTGTAGATCTACCTATCTGCTGGCTCTAGTGGTCCTTGTCCAGGACTGGGGCATTCCAGCCTACAGTCAGCACAAAGCTAGCCCAGCTAAATACGTTCTGCCAACTTAGTTTGCTAGAACAGCTCAACACTGGATCCAAGTGCCTGGGTGCCCACGCAGAGGGACGCTGGCAGCAACAGCTGGTAAAGGCAGGCGAGGGCCACTGCAGGCATTAGAGCAGCTCAGACTTTCCACTCAAGCTTCAAAATTAACAATACTGGAAATGGTTCTCTGTTCTTGCAACTACTAAACAAGAGGCTGTGGCTTCGTACTTTACTTCCAGTTTTATTAGTGTTTTAAAAATGTCTTTTCTTAAAAGGTTACTCTATTTTTATATTTGTCATCAAATTTCAGTTACCATCAACTATTCACTCAGTTGCATAGAATTATCTGCAACTTTAGGCACCTTTAGTTGTTGAAAGCTTTTTAGAAATCCAAGCACTAGAAATCAGATCACTTTCATTCACGTGCTTATCAACTTTTCCATATGAGCCAGGAGGTGGGACTTTCATCAGCAGTTATTTGTATTGCTCCATCTTCAGTGAATCACTTTTATTCACTTCCACTAATTGAATGCTTGATAAAAGCTTTAATACAATTGCCTGATATGAAAGTCCGACTTGCTTATTTCAGAACCACCACAACAACCTTCTGCCATTTTTGCCACCCTACCTGCCTGCACCTTAGGCACCATGGTTGATTTATATTACAGGTAACACATGGTTAATTGTATTCAAACACTATAGAAAGTTCAGATATGAAACTGCTGAATAACCTAGCGTACATGATGCATCACTATTTGTTGCATGACTTTGTTCTAAGACATTACCTGTCAGCTGACAGTCAGCTGAAACATCAGTTCATCCCACCGCCCTCCATACAAGTGGTTCTGACCTGGGAAGCCTCCTGATCACTAATGCAGATACATCAGTCAGCTTTTCTGAGCTGCCTTACTTTCACATGCTTCTTTCACACTGTGTTTATCTACCAGCTTTACTGCTCACTACCAGGCTGACTGGTAGCTTTTCTGTTAGCTTTTCTCCTTCTAACACGTGATCATCAAAAACCTCTTTAGCCATCCTCTTTAGTGGTCTTACATTCTGATTACTATTTTGTAGTGTTCTTGTTTTCCCATTTTTACATTGCATGCATTTGGGTTTCAGTTTGGGTTTTTTTGAATCCTTTTTAGTAAGTCTGTTTTTCAAAGATTACAACTTTGTTATTTGGTTCTTTAGAAACTTTGGTACGCGAAACCCTAGCATTTAGCATGGCACTCTGAAACACGCATGCTTTGAATAGCTGACATGGAACCCAAGTGGACATTAACAGTCACACGCTCATCCTGCAAAATTATTTCTACTCTATAGCAGAAAAGTTAGTCTATGTTTTAGTGCAATCATCAATTTCTCCACTAAAACTGCTATTAAATATCAGCTAAGTCTCAACTGTGGACTGAGTTTATGAAAGAATATAAATTAACAGAAGTTTGACGTCCACTTTTAGCTGTTGTATCAATTTCTCTGCTAAAGAAATGTAAGTATTCTGTTCCTATATGGTAGGACGTTCTTAAAGAGATCTATATACAATTACTGCACTGTAAAAACTTAAGCATTAAAATAGAAGTTTAGTAGGATTGTTTTCTTACCAAAATTGAATGCATTCCCATATAAATTCGGCTACAGCAAACCAAAGAACACCAGCAGAATGCAAGGATCAGTCCAAACATAAGGGGATACTGGTAGGGGAAAAATGGAGAGATTGTATTAGAATTTGGAAAAAAAACCCCACAACTCTAAGAATTCTATAATTAATTCCAGTTAATGCAGCTTGTTCTTACCCTTTTCCTTGCCCTAGCCTACCCAAGCCTATTAGACCACCTCACTTAAGTCCACTTTTCATAAAGTCAAAACATTATTAAGTCAAACTTTTCAAACTTTTTCCTTGTCCTCTTCCTTTGCATTCAGGATCTATGCATTTCAGGGCATTGGTCATATCTTTTCAGACAAAGCAGTAAGAAGTTAATAGGTCTTTGTAGCAGTTAGTCTTCCCATGTTATGATATCCTAAACTGGCAATGTGGGGAGAGACAAGCCTTGTATTATAAACTGTGGAACAATTTTACACTGGGTGGAGCAGCTACATAATACACTATTATTGTTAACAATTATCCAGGCAGAATCTAGTAGCTTCACCTTTCTCCTGAAAAGGAAGAACTCATAATAATTTACAAATAAATTAAATTCCCTACATTGTTTTAGAGTTTCTACAGTCCTTGACTCAATCTCTGAGCATTAGTATCAAACTCCTGGAACAGTAATCTTTTTTGTTCTCTACAAACCTATATGAATTTCCTGATAAACGTGGAATGTAGTAAACAAAAAACATCAAATAATTATTTCCAATTATTTCCATCTTCTGGTAGAATATTTTTTATTAATAAGGAAGGTTTACCACGAACAAAATACTCTGTTTCATATCAACATGTGTAGAAACTTAGTATTCTAACTTTTTTAGGTTTTGGATAAAAGCATGCTCATTCGTATCTTACAGCACCTTAAGAAATACTTTCCCCACTACCATATTGCAAAATGTTGTTGTACAAGAAAGGATACAGCTTCCTTTTTTCAGTATGAAAAATAATTGTTAGTTCTATAAAAGAAGCAGTCACAAGACAAAATGGCATGTTTCCAAAATTGCTTCACTTCCTACATGAAAGCAATGATAAACATTTTCAATACAAACAGGCAGTCTAGATGTACTCGAATCTCAGAATAAAAACTAAGAACTGCAGGCAGATTTCTTGCCCTTTCCCTTGCTCTTTTTATGGGTAACCTGAAGGGTAGAATATCCAACAAATTAGAGAAAGTATCTTTAATCTTATTGGAGAAAGTTGTATGTCCTCCGTGAAGGCCACTTAACAGATTGACAAGCTTCTAAATCAGTCTTCCAATGAAAGGTTTAAGAAAAAGATTATCAGTCTTCTGCATTATTGCAGCATTCTTCGAATTCTCAGCTCCAGGACCATGTTAACATGACAAACCTAAAAAAAATTTTCTCAAACTAGCAGAAAGTCGGGAAGCTTACATTTCATATAAGAAACAGATTTCACATTAAAATCAATTCTAAATGCCCAGCTCACAGTTGCGTTACATCTAGTTTAAACTCTAACTCCTGTAGCAACATTTGTCTTTGTTTAGGTACAAGCTGTAGATGAATGTCGTAGAAACAAAATTATGTACTTAATGATTCATTTCTAACTGAAATCATGAAGGAACAAATTCAGTTTCCTGCCTTTCAGAATTGTGCTAATAATGGGCAGTACATCAGTAACTAGGTCATTCTCAAGACATGACTGCACAGTTATCAGATGCTGACATCGTTATAGCAGCCACAAAAGTCATCCGGGCTGCACCACCAGAATACATTCCGAGTGCAGCCCCATCACGCCTCTACCATCATTTCCATTGATCTCAGGGTAGAAGTAATGCTGCCTGCACCAGGAAGACACTCAAGCCACACAGTCTCCCAGCCTGGTGCTGCTTCACTCTTCCCCCAAGGTCTACCAAAGCAGAAATACACAGGGAGAGGCATACCCTATATCCTCTGAAGTAAAGAGGAGCTTCCAGCACCTCCTTACATGCCCTGCAAGATGAAAACCTGGGAAGACAGACTTGTTTGTCAGAGACTAGCAAAGGAAGATTTACTACCTCCAGAAGCAATGTGAACCTCTCAACCAGAAAATTTAATAGCATCACAATTACTTGGTGGTAGAATGAGCTTGCATGTGTTCATGCATGTGTCGAAAGTTTCAAACAGTCTGGCCCATCACTTGATTCCACATGTCCATTCTTGTTTCCTGGCACACATCTGCAGTGCTTTCAGGGTCCAGTTGGGGTAAGGCTTTTCTTTCATAAATATAGACTTTTCCTGCATTTCTGAAATACCTGACAGAAACACAACCTGGAGCTTTAGCGGGAAGACGAATGAAGTGCCAGGGTCAGTAGGCTATAGCAGCTAATGATATTGTGAGTAAGAAGTTGGGAGTGTCGGGGAGAAGAGGTTAGAGCAGCTGAACAGCAAGACCCTAAGAACAAGGAGTATGACAGAAAAGGTATGGGTGAGGAGTCTTGTTTTAAGAGTCCTGGGCAGGTCATTGTAAATAGCAGGGAGAGTAGGTTACATTCTGGAAATGAAAAGAAATGCTTGTTCTTAGTTAGGAACTCTTAAGGGAGGGGTGTTTGGGGAAGAAAGAAACTGTCAAACTCCAACTTTGAAGATTTTGGAGGCAATATTTGGCTCTGTCATATCTCACTAATTCTGTTTTTAATAGTACTGAGAATACTACTACTACTACTAATATTAATACCCATTAAAACATCTGAAAACACTGGCTAGCTTAGTTCTTCTGTAGCAAAGCATCTGTATCAAGAGCTCAAACATTGCCCTATTGTGTGTTAAAAGCCAATTTTACATTTAACCCTGATTCATATATTAAGTAATGAAGAATTTTTAACTTAAACCCGGACAAGTTATTCTTACTGAAATAGGTTTAGCATGACCTGTCCACAAATGTGTGCAATATTAGGCACTTGCTGACTTATGGTATTTTTAATGCATGATAACAATAATCACAGAAGTCCTAACCCCAGCTTCTTTCCACCAAACGGAGCTTATTCACTACAGGATATAGTATATATACCTGTACTGTATCCAGTCCACTATAAAAAAAAAGCAGAAGGTTGAAACAATTATTCTAATTTCCTCTGGAATAATATTCCACAGTACAACATAAAGACATCTTTGTGTCTAAGGTACAGGAATAAAATTTGACCTAAAGAAGGTTTTAACCTTCATCTGTCCTGGTTTCTTCCACTGTTATATCCATACCTTCCCACATTGCCCACACAACTGGTCTGATTTTCTTCCCACAACCCCAGAACCCACCTGCAGAGCATCATAAAGCTGTATGTATGCTTTAGGGCTCCACAGCTCACTGACCTCCTTAGACACCAGCAGAAATCAAGCAGAACAACCCTCCTACTTCAACACAAATAACGCACAATACCCTGCCTCCTCCTTGGCCTGTTTTCACTCATGCCTTTTAAAAGCAGCCACTGGGTTCAAGAATTCCTAGAACACCAAACTGGTAGCACCTGCTTAATATCTGCCTTGAGGTGGTAAGGCAACCACATATTTTGTCCTCACACGTAGGGACAAGTGTACGCAGTGACTAAAGGAGAATATTAACACTCCCACACACCTTGTAGCTCTGCAAGAAGACTGCTCAGCAGCATGCCAAGTCATAACACCAACAGGGAACACATCACCTTGATCCTTATAAAAAAGCTGATGCCATAAATTTACTTGGAAATTGTCTGAAAATAATGCAATACTGAGGTACTAGCAAGCATTTTCTAAATGTTGTTTCATCTAGAAAATGACTGCCTATATGTATTTTGCATATATAAATTGGTTATACCATGGTTCTAAGTATCCGTAACTTCCCACTGCCTAGGCATATGAAATCCCCCCCCAAATACCAAAACATCTTCTATTAGTGTAGCGCCTTAAGAGTATTAACATTTGTTACCACTTTACAATAGTGCATTTCACAAAGCTTCTTTCCCAATCGCAAATGAATCTTCAGAGAAAAAAAGCCCAAACAGCTTTTACTATGTTTTCTACTTAAAATACGCACACTTCAGGAAAGATTAATGTGAAAACTTTAATATAAACTGATCTCAAGCATTCACGGAAGCAAGCCATAAGCACTCATTTTTTGGACGGGTCTCTTCTTTTGGAACTAGCAGTTCTCAACTACCTTTGAGTTATAAACTTTTAGATCTTCTCTATATAGTTGTATATAGACACACCGACAGTCTCTACTTAAATGAAGGATATTAAAGCAAGACTGCTGAATTCTAGCAATTTTAGTCCCACAGTTCCTCGTATGCCAAATCACACCTACAGAGGCACAAAGGACAAAAGATCACAAGTTCACTTCTACCCTCTTCCCCAATTCATTGCTTTCTTACTCATCATCAGAAGGCAGACTGGCATCATACCTCCTTTCAGATGAGGGTCTGAAAGATCATCAGAGAACGCAACTGGCAGAGATGTAGATAAAAACCAGGTTTCATTCTCTCAGCTTGTACTTTCTGATAACAGAATTGGCATATCTTCATTCTTGACCATACGCTAAGTCACTTAGAGTCAGGTATTCAGGAACAGCCCACTTTAGAGACAAACATCTCAAAACCTGCCCCCATGCCCTCAATTAAGACCATCCTGTGTATATCCTCAAAAACTCATTATGCCTCCATAGCTACCATACCACCTCAACAACTTTTGAGTATAGGGAGTATTTATTGAACTGTATACTGCTTTATTTTTTCTAAATTAAAAAAAAAAAATTGTGATTTGAAAATCGTAACCTCATACAAAAATAGACACTCTCATAGTACTCAATCTTAACTTCAAGATCACATGTTGACTCAAAACCAACATTAACCTGGCATTTTTCTCCTTGAGAAAAGTACTCCACTTTCCATATTAGATCAAATCACTGATATCCAGCTTGCACAAATATTTTTCCGAAGGCCAGAATAAAACTTCAATAATATGCATAAGCATATAGTACAAAAACAGTCTCAGAAGATTATGTGGAGGAGATGGAATTGACAGCAAAGCAGAGATTAGAGATAGAGACAAATGCAACATACAGATTAAAAAGATA